CACACACACACACACACACACACACACAAACACACACACAAATACACACGTGCACACACACACACACACACAAATGTTTTAATTAAAGTTTGATTCTACTACAACAAATATCTTCTAATTTAGATTGGATTAACCTTATTTATAAATGGAAATCCTTATTTAGAATAACAGTCCAATTAAAATATTTCATGAACTCATCTAGACTTTCATTCCATCTCTAGCATCCAGTTCAATTTAGAAGAGATACCCGATTCTTGGAAGGAAAGTTTTCAAGTAAGATGAAAAATTCTAAAATTGGAATGATATTTTTTAAGATGGAATGAAAATTTGAAATCTAGAATGTAATTTTCCTATCGAATGATTATTTAACTCAAGGAAAATTTTCAGTTGTATTTTTGCTTACTAAACTGAGCACCCTTAAGTAGTGCTAAACAATCGGTGGTTCCTCTTTTGGAGTGCCTACTGCACTCTTAGGAGGGCTGCTCAGTTCGGGATGTTTGTGTTGCATGTGGGTGATTACAGATGCTCGTTTGTTTGAGAGGGTGGGGCTGGGGTTGTGACGCCCCATGACGCTTCCCAAATCCCCAACCCCCCTCCCCACTGGCCGCCATGCGGCCTCAAAGTTGCGCGGCCGCTCGGACACGTCCGCGGGGTCGTAGACCTGGCCGCGGCCGCGGACTTGTCCGCGCTTGGCGGCCGCCGAGGGAGATTCATAGGCTGGGGCAAATCGGTGAGAAAATTTCATTAAGTATGCGCGCGCATTGTGGTGACGCGCGCTCTCATGGGTAGAATCAGTAGTAATGCCCTTCGACAGAAGAGGTTGAGGGATCAATTGGGTTATTGTTTTGTCAGGTAGATCTACGACACACGCTGAGACTTAACCATCAGTACATTAGTCAAGGTAAATTAAAATACGCCGTGACCATACGGCCGGGGCAATTAAAACTGTGTGATCATCGGGTTTGCAGTAGCGCTCGGATTGCTAACACTTGCTCGAGCGGTACCTCCATCCTTACTCGTATACTGCAAGTAAGGTTGAGGTTCTCGCTCGGCCTCCCATTGGATGGGAGGCGTTTGCCAGGCTCTTGGACGGTGACTTTCTGATCGCACGGTCACCCAAGCAACCGGTATTTCTTCCCATTCGGAAGGAAACATCATTGCGGGCCCATGTATCGTCCGCATATGCCCTAAACTCGGGCTACTTCGACTCGTACCTACCTATCGACCGGTACTGGGCGGCTAAAAGTGCCAACTTTTGTCTTCTTCTGCTCGACCCTGAGTACCCGACACATCTACCTCTACTTGGTGTGGTACCGGCCTACCTGCTACTTGAGTGTTTACCCCGCCACAAACCCCAATGTCACGGTTGCGGGTAAGTACCGGCCCGTCGGACCTTACGATCAATCAAGTGCCCTTGCAGTTCACACACTCACTCAAGCCGACAAACACTCAGACAGGCGCGCAGACCAGCAAGCGTGCACAACATAGACTTAGAATTGGGCTCGGGCCACTAGGCAGACCAAGCCCCACTACTCTATATGTACCTGAGCAGCACCTCTTTTAACCGAAGTAGGAGCTAGCTCAGTAGGTTTTAAGGCAAAGTGTTAAGCAACGGACTTGGGGATCAAATCTGCCTAACCCCTGAGCTAGTTCTTTTTTATAAGGACCTCGACTTTAGTTTACCCTGCTTTCGGTCGGGCAGGGCTCGAACCTGTGACCCTGAGATTGGAACTAGTTACAACTAGACCCCATTGTGACAGTTGGCACAATGGGGTGGTTAGTAGTGAGATTTTTTTTTTTTTTTTTTTTTTTTTTTTTTTTTTTTTTTAGTAAATTTTGTTTTTCTTTATTTCATTAGTTTTCTTCTTTTTTATTTTTATTTTTTTTCGAATCACGTGATTGCTCTTTATGGATTCAACTTTATGAATCTTCCTCTGAAACCAGGGCAGATCCGGTTCAGTAGTGTGGCAAGGATCTGGTTGAAGTCGCGAAAGATTAGCCACGCGTCGTCAAAACTCGCAAAGCTGCAGGGCGCAGCGAGAAGCGGAAGAAGCACGTCAGGGGGAAAGGCAAGAAGAAGTGCACCCGAGGAGGTATAGCACGCAAGC